AAGTGTGGTAAGTGCATTATTGGTAAATTATTGAAAATGCTGAGAAAGAAACATGAAACTCTTACTTTCAGTCCTGCTGTGTCTTAAGGAGGGAGCCTCATGTAAAATGACTAAACAAGTAGGTTTAAAGACAATGGTATTTAGTTATCTACATGCATGCCAAAGGGCAAGTCGATTGGTCGAATAGTTTATCAGTAATCTTGCACGCCAATTTGAAAAACATGGTTTTGAGAAAAACGCGTTTAAAGTTTCAAGTTCTCGGAGCGCGCGCTTTACTTGCGTAACGCTCAGGTATAAAATCGCCTATTTCAAGTTCGAATTTCGCTCTGGAACTTTGTGGAAACATATTCTAGAGATATTATACTAATGATTTGTGCAATAAAATTTTTTAGATTTTTTTTACTGGTTACATGAGGCTCCCCCCCTTAAAATACACTTGATCTACTCTTAATAAATATGATGATTAACTTATCAACTTAAATCCTGTATTTAGTATTTCTCATGCATAATATTGTAATTTTTTAAATCTTTTTTCAGATGCATGTGGCAAACAATATAAAAGAAATTTTTCGAGATCAAAAGTCACAGGCTTCATAAGTACGTGGCTTCGAAGTAATTCAAAGAGGAGAGCCATAAATAATGTTGATTTGCCAAGATAATAAAAATTTTTCAAAGGTCGATTACCTCCCCTGTAGGTACAGATACTTTTTTGTTATGTTTTTTGCAATGTCAAAATAGAGGTTGTCAAAGGAAAATATATGAAATTCTATAACTACAGGTATAAATGTAAAAATTTGTTTTACAGGTGACAAGAGGTAACAACGAAAGCAAGACTATATACACGAGTGGTTATAACCAAGATGAGTCGATATTCGCATGGCTATCCGTAAATGCAGCGCAGAAGCATTTTATTTTATTTTGTATCGCAAAAGTTCGTAAAAAAAATTGAAATAGATTATTCCCAATTATGTTTGACATGTGAGAATGCTTATCAATTAACTATCGACGGTTAAATGCCATAAAAATTTCAACCAATTTGTAACAAATCAGTATTAAAATACATAATATTATGTATTATTTTATGAATATTTATTTCAATAACGTTTCCCACACTATATTAATCTACGCGCTTATAATGCGCTTATAATGCGCTTTTTGAACAAATTTTGAGCGCGCTTTGAACGCTATAAAACTGCATTTTTTCCTGCGCTGGTTTTACGCGCTTATAAACGCTTTTTCTAGTGGATTTTGAAAGCGCTTTTAAAGCGGTAATATGCTTCTAAAGCGCTAAAAAAGCGCTGAATTCCTGCACCCGCAGTAGCGCTTTCAAAACGCTTTTCAGGCGCTGTTGTGCTACATGGGCAGATTACGAAGATATCGAATCTTTAAATAATCTAGATGTTACTAA